TCCTGAACCTCGGCAATTTCTATCCATGGAAAAGAATCCAGAACGTGCAAAAGAATTGCTTACCTGGATCCAAGATGCAATAGCAACTGGAAAGTTACGCAATCCTGTCTATAGTATTAATGGAAAACACAGTACAGGAGTATTTAGTAAAATTTTAAAACCATATGGTATTACAGCCAAAAGATTAAGAAAAATTGGAGGAAAACATGCTTCTAGAGTTCATGGTGGTCAAAATCCAACTTCGCAACATCTTGAATTCCTTAGCAGAATTGCAATGAGACATAAGATAGCCCGTTTTGATTCTGGAAAGTATTATGCTGAGGGTGATACTTCCGATTCTGACCTTGATTCAGATCCAGAGCCTGAACCAGAAACTTGACCTTTCACACCCAAGCCAATTAATGAGAATACTTCCACATCCGAAATCGAGGATATATATGACTTATATGGAAGTATCTAGATTAGTTCATAACTTATCTATTCATTCACTATAACCCGTTTTAAATCAGCGAATCAGATATCAGCATAGAAGTTCGTGAAACATGCATAGCCAGATGATCAAAGATTGATAGGCCCATTGCTATGCAATAATGCGTAACGTATCCGAAAAAATAGTGAATATCGAGTCGATTTTTTCAGGCCTTCAGGCGCCTCTACGAGGCATGACATTAATATTCGAAATCAATAGTCTACGCTTTCACAGTTACTATTTGGATTGAATTTTGATAAGCCTCCCAGCATTTGAGACGATAGGTTTTTGTATTGACATAATCCCACGATCACCCAATCAAAATCAATTTTGAGTTGTACTACGAATATTATATGCAATACGTACACAATTATGATTTTATTAACCTAATTATCAGTTTCATCGTATCGTGTGATCTTACGATCTCCCGTTTGCCGAGTGATTATTGGGTAAATTTCTGCTTGCGCTAACCTCGAAACCCCAAAAGAAGTTATTTTTGTGGTTAATCGTTTCGGCTGAAATTTATTATATATGTCTATTATCTATTAACTATTAATATTAATAGATATTATGTAATAGTTAATAGTTAATATTAATAGTTAATATTTAATAGTTAATAGTTAATAGTTAATAATTGAGGTGTGAGAGAAATTGAGGTGTGAGAGAAATTGAGGTGTGAGAAAAAAAAAGAAGAAATGAGATATTGATATAAGAACATATCATACTCTACCTCGTCCTCTCCTCTCTTCTCCTCTCTCTTCTCCTCTCCTCTCCTCTCCTCTCTTCTCTTCTCTAGAATAATGACTGTAATGATGGTATTAATGAGGTGCTTGACAAATATTGTGTTTAACAACGTTGTACTAATTGTACTTTATTATTACTATATTTAGCTATTTAATAATAATGTTAAGAAATCCGAAGTGATTTACATAAGCAGTCAAAAAGAGCCAAGTAACCTTAATTCGGATGTTCGGCTATAATTATCGTTAAGGGTAATATTCAATAATTTATTGCTCTACAATCGATTCTGAAAATTTCATTAATAATCAATTCACAACTCTTATAATCGATTTACGGCAGACAGCAGTTCGGCTATAAGGGAGATGAATGTAAGCAATTCACGGCTCTTATAATTGATTTACAGAAGATAACAATAATTTAAACTTACAACGATAAATAATTGTACGATCCTTTTTAATTTGTAACAATAATATTAGTTCAGACGTTCGGCTATAACTATCGCTAAGAGAGATGAAAGTAAGTAGTTCGATTTACGGCAGACAAGAATGAACTTAAGCTTATAATTGTACGATCCTTTTTAATTTGTACCAATAAATAACGTTAGTTCAGACGTTCGACTATACCTTATCGCTAAGGGAGATGAAAGTAAGTAATTCATAACTTTTATAATCGATTTACGGCAGACAACAGTAACTTAAGCTTACACCGATTGCACAATCCTTTTTAATTTGTAACAAACAACGCGTTCGGCTATAACTGTCGCTATGGGAGATGAATGTAGGCTCTTATAATTAATCTACGGAAGACAACGGTAACTTAAGCTTACAACGAACAACGCGTTCGGCTATAACTATTGCTATGGGAGATGATTATAATTGACTTACGGAAGACAACACTTACAACGAATAACGTGTTCGGCTATAACTATCGCTATGGGAGATGAATGTAAGCTCTTATAATTGATTTACGGAAGACAACGATAACTTAAACTTACAACGATAGATATTGTACGATTTTTTTATGAAAATTTTAAGTAATTTACGTTCATGACTATACGATCACTAATAGTGTAAAACTCATTTCGTTTATTTTACGCTCACGAAACTCAGAATAACAAAGAAGGGATACAAGACAATATGTAAATCGAAATATATAAATCAACCATGATCATGATTCTGTCCTCAAGACAATATCAACTTTTCTATTAATAAAAAACATCAATAACTTATTACTCGAACAAATTCTTACCAAATGTCTCGAATCATTGACAACTTTTCTTTCGATTCATTGGCATCATACGAGTCGATCGTCGACTTTTCCGAATCTACTTCTCATATATTTCCCGAATCATCTTCCTCTCAATCCAACATAGTTTCCCCTTCAATTAACGTGTCCATTTCTGCACGTTTGCAAGAAATTGAACAAACGTTTTGGCGTCCTTCCGATGCTTTGATACAAATTCTGCGCAGACTCCATGAAGTAGATTATGCCCAGTTTCCTTGTATTCCCTGTTCATATTGTTCGCGTCTTTTGTATCCTTATCAAATCAAATGGATTGTCCGCCAGTCCGACTACGTATTTCCATTCGAGCATGTATATCCTCACGTTCCTCTAACTAGCCATCCACATGATAACATGAAAGTGGCCGTGTGTGCATCGTGTAAGTCAACGCCTTCCCCATGTCCTATCCTAGCTGAGATTCCTACCTGTATAGAAAACGTGCCATATGGGAAACGAAAATACTTATCCCCTGTATACTTACACTCGAGCCTTGGCAGATCATCCAATCTATCTGCTTATTCAGAATACCGATCACTTAAAGGACAGTTTGGATATTCGAAGAACTTACGAACGCTATCACTGTACTCCGGCATGTTAGGTGCATTTCTCGAAAACATAGACCAATCGACCACTGAAAACCTTTGGTACCACCCTTCCCTGAGAGAAGCTTGTGAATGGTTACAACAAAACAACCCATATTTAAGATCCTATCACTCCCTCGCCTCCCGTTTATTACAAAACAATGACTTTACCACAAATCCGGTATGGCCTTCTGCAACTCATGTAGAAACTGAACAGAGTATACCACCTATCAATCGTGGAGATGTTGTAGTACCGCCATTCGATTTTCCCGATGAGATTCATAATGAAGATTCTCACTACAGTCGCCTAGCCATTGGATTCCTATGTACAAACAATAACAACAAGATACCAATTGCTTTACACGATCCCGAATTAGAAGCACTCTTATATCCTGATTTGTTTCCTGATGGTCATGGATATTATGGCGAACTCAGGCAGAACGCATTATCTACTAATGATAGATCTGATACTTATGGAAAGTATATTAAAAGTAGAATTCTGTGCTATGATCCGCGCTTCAGATTACATCCCACATGGCCAATGTGGTCATACATACAACTGGAAAAATATCGAAATTTTCAAAATAACATGCGAATGGTCCACCAAAGACAAATTGATTCTGAACATCATCGACCAACTGCTACCGAATTACTGAGACGAAGTAGTTATGATGATACCAACCTCATCATAAATGAATCTTTAACTACGCCACTCCCATCATTCATTCGTACAGGTGACTCCTATTTCCATGAAAAGGAACTTCATCTAAATACAATGGTTCGACACCTAGGACTCCCATCATTGTTTATTACACTTTCGATGGCGGAAAACAAATGGGAACACTTGAAAGAAATACTGAAAAATACTGACAATCAAGACTCCTTACCTACAAATCGCCCTTTCCATGTAACATCTCATTTTATCAATCGATCACGATCAATGAAAAAAGCCATCTGGAAAAACAATTCAGTTTCTGGCTGGGGTACTATTGAAAATTTCTTCGAATGGATTGAATTTCAAAACCGGGGTGCTGCCCACATACACACCTGCCTTTGGACAACATCCACCATCGAACAAATGATTGCAGCTAATCAGATCCGTGGCGACTTACCACATCCAGAGCATGAACCGGAATTGTATCGGAAGGTTTTAACACATCAGTTACATACTTGCAGTCCAGAATGTTGCAGAGGTCCACCTGCAGAAGGTGAACAGTGTTCAAAATTCTTTCCTCGTCCATATTCCTTGTATACATATCATGACAATCAGTCCTTACGATTTGTGTACAAATGCACAAAACCAGAAGATCGTTGGGTTGTACCTTATCATCCACAAACATTGTTAGCCTGGAATGCACATATGAATGCCCAATATGTTACAACAAAAGGATTTGCCCGTTACATGACTAAATATATCGCCAAAGTTGAACCTGCCCACCTGTTTAACATATCTGAAGGAGATTGCTATCATCAACATATATTAGCACAAAGACTAGGAATGATGGAAATGATGTTCTTAGCACTTGGCGAACCAATATGTGATTCCTCAGCAACTGTCAATTACCTTCCGGCAGAACCTCCCATGTTACGATCGAAGACAGTCCGACCGAAACATCTAATCCTCTTAAACCCAGATGAGCCCTATTACAAAGATGCCATTGAAAAATATATTCGCCGACCTTTAACAGAAGAGTTTGATAATATCAAATATAGTGATTACTACTGCCACTATGAAATCAAACCACCAAACTTTCAATCAAGTCGAAAAGTGGGAACTGATCTAGATGGACGGACAATCGTACGCCGCGCAAAAGCAATATTAATTAGAACGCGCTTTCTAAAATTGTCAGATGGTGAACCATATTTCTATCATCTACTATTGGAGACACGTCCGTGGAGATCAGAGGAAGAACTTCTTGGCAATTTCTCTACATACCGAGAACATTATCTCTCCTTATTTCCAAATGAAGCTGAACAATTCCAAAATAATGTGAGATCTTACATAACACAACGAACAATACAACTCACCTTACAATTTGGAACTCTGATTGATTCCCTGATTCAAACACTTCAAAGAGAAATCACTGTCAACAATGTTGATATCATAAAACATCAACTTGACAACCTTAAAATACTTCCTCCTCCCCTATCACAAAATCTCTCCATTAATTTACCTACAGAACAATATAAAATTATGAACATTCTGACAAACATGATGGGCTCAAAAACGAACAAACACTATCCATTCTTCTTTCTAACAGGTTCTGCTGGAACAGGGAAATCCTTTATCATCCAACAATTCAAACT